TGAGAATATGGTGTCTTGAGCTTTGTAGGACTATACTGGCACCCTTAGGGCAACAGGGTCCTGTCCCATTAAATTTTGATTCACAGCATCTCTTATAGAACCTGTATCCAGAGCTAGTTAGATTTCTTGAAGAAATGCAGACTGTTTTATCACCCATGTATTCTCTGCCCATTATGTCACCAGCATTCAAGAAATCCATGTTGACTATGAAGAAGTAATAAGAGGACGACTTGATCCCTCATCCAATGAGCTCATTATTGGCTGGTGGAGGCTGGAGGAGCCTGTGAGGGCAGGACACTGTGAGGGTGAGCCTGAGACGCAGCAGAAAGGCATCGTCACGACGAGGGAACTGGACAGTCCTTGGTGACTGTGTGTAGTAACCTGGGCCTTTATGAAAACAGAATTAGCTCCTGTGGGGAGAAGAGGGGAGAGGCGCAGAGGCGCAGCTTGGGCTGAGCTCTGCAGTGAGGAGCGCAGTGCACAGCAGAGACAGGCCTCAGTGCACCTTGTGCTGAGAGCAGGGGTCTGAGGGGAGAGGGGGTGAGAGTGGAAGAGGAAGGAAGTGGCCCGAGCTCATCCTCCATTAGAAACCCACTCCCATGACAACTATCCACTCCTGCAATAATGGCATTAATCCATTCAGGAGAGTGGCCTAGTCACCTCTTAAAGGTCCTGCCTCTCAAAGCTATGACATTGGGATTAAATCTGTAACAAATGAACCTTCAGGGATACATTCGCGTGACAGTTCTGCCTGGAAGAGAGGAACTTGTTGGAAGCAGCAATGTGTGGGCTGAGAAGTCAACATGGAGTGTTCATACCAGATTATCACTAGTAACCTGGTCACTTGTCCTGAGGATCTTTCCCTATTCTTCTTCATCAGTGAGTTTATCACATTGAACTCTCACGAGCCCAGGGTCAAGTCACCAGGCTTGGCCTCTCTTGCTCTCGCAACTTCTGTGTAGATGAGGAGTCTGAGGCTCAGAGAGGGTGAAAAATTGTTCAAGGCAAGATGCTGCTTGATGGTGACACAGTCACCTCACCCAGTGCTGTCTCACAACACCAAAGCTCCGCTGCTCCTGCTCTATGAGATCACAGGCAGGAGGAGGCAGAGGTGATGCCTTCCCAGGCTTGTGAAGGACTAAAGCACCCTAGGGACCTGGAGAAGGAGAGGCCAGCAATGCTGGCAGAGCCTCCAGGAAGAAAGGAGAGCAGAGCATGCCTTGGAAGATGGGCAGAAAAACAATGAAACTGAAGAGGCAGAGAAACAATGACAGGGACAGGAGAGGGAACTACACAGGCTCCTGTTGGGATGATTCTGGGGGTCAAGGGGCGGCCTGGCTACTCTGGAAGTTCGTGCTGGAAATTACTGGATAGTAAAGGTGGAAATGGTGTGGCTAGGGCCCAAAGGCCAAATTGATCATCTGGATTTTATAGTCTGGTAAGTGGGGGATTCTGAACATAGAATAATGAGGAAAATCGGCATTTCAGAAGGGTGCTTGGTCAACTTCAAATAGTTATAATTAATTTAGTAAGAGCCAGTCAATATTAAAGCAGGTGTTCACACAGTATAAGACACATAATTATTAAGTGATAAATCGACAGTAGATGCTTTGTGACTTAACTGTAAGAATGCACAGGACCCTGATTTTGGAAAACCAGTTCTAAAACTATCTGATGAACTTTTTCTTTTATCCAGCTTCATTGAATCACTCAGGTGTTCCCTAAAAGCCTCCTGTCCTTTCCCATCTCTGTGGATTCTGTCCCTGCCTGGATTCCCAGCCAGTCCTCCTGGCCTCTTCTGAGGCCCCCTTCCAGGCCCACTTGAAATAGCTCTGACGGCCTCCTCCTCAACCAGGAATGATCTGTAATGGCGCTTCCACCATGGTCCTCACATAGTCAAACAACAAGGGTACACTGTCACAACATGCCTCCTCGATCTTTGTGTCCCCAGGGCCAATGACAAACTGCCACTGAACCATAATACTAAAACTTTGCCTATGGATAAGGATTTTTCATATGGCTACTTTTATCTCAATTTCCATTAATATCCTTGAAACAGGATCAATTATACAAATGAAATTTCTGCGAAGTACATCTACCTCTTTATTCCATGTTGAGGAGAATCAACCTCCAAACAGACATTAAGTTTAACTTTTCCAATACAGTAGAAAGAGATTCAAGATTGCTATATCAAGTCTTACAATACCTCTAAGCTTCCAGTTTGCCCTATGGATTTTGTATTTGCCAGCCTCCACAATAACATGAGCCAATTCCTTAAAATAAATCCAACAGGCTATGTATGTTTGTTTCTCTGGAGAATCCTGAATAATACAGAAGCCTAAGAGTAATCATCCCTACTTTTCCTGGACCCATCCTTTCCATTTTCATCTTACAACTGGACTTCCAAATAGCCTCTCTTCCCTATCCTTAGGATCATAGCATTAGGATTTCCATCTTCAGCAAACCTCAGAGACCAACAGTGAGAACTCTTACATAGAACACAGAGATATCCATTCACATCTTGAATAAACTCTATCCAATAGCAAAAAAAAAAAAAAAAAAAAAAAAAAAAAAAAAAAAAAAGGGGGGGGGGGGGGAGAGAGAGAGAGAAAGAGAAGAGGAAGGAGGAGGAGGAGAGGCATAGGAAGGAGGAAAAGAAAAGGGAGAGGAAGAGAGGATGGAGGAGAGGGAGGGGAAGAAGATGGAGGAGGAGAGGAAGGAAGAGGAGGAGGAGAAGAAGACCACTTCTAGTCATTCCTATATGTTTAATTTAATCTAACCTCTCTGAGCTCCAGTATTCCCAACCAGAAAAAAAAGGATGCTCAACAAGATCAGTTTCTAACAAATATTTGGTATTTCTCTATATTGCTCATACTGCACTTTGATGAAGGTAGCTAAGTTAATAAGTAAGAGGACTTTAGCCAAAGTTGGAAGTGTAGTCTTCAAATTCAATATTAATGCAAGCAGCCTAATTTCAGTAAGAGCCTCAGTAATATAATGGGCTACGCCCCATTACCCAAACTTTTAGAAAATTCTGTCACATGAATGAAGGAAAATAAATATTACATCATTTAAGGTACTGAACATAAAACAACAGAGTCATGGAGTGTATGATGATCTACTACTTGGAAAACTGTTTCCAATTAGCATTTTATAATTGGTAGTGGGTAGATTACTTCACCTAGTTCTATTAATTTATCACCAAAAGTATACAGTTGGTGACGGCCACACATAGACCATATGGCAGAACCAGTATCAAAAGCCAGTTTTCTTTTAACTTGCAACTTAGAGACTTGGTTTAAAAGACAATTACAAATAGATGAGCTGACAATGAAATGTGGTTTCTTAGAATATCCAGGTCCCTCATATTCTTGTTGGTTAACTTTATGGAAGGTTAGGTGTCATTAAGAATTTCTTGTTCATTAATTTCAGAATATGTGTAATAACTTGACCAACTGTTCTTATTTGAAGTAAAATTGGGTGGCAGGGTTAACAAAATCCTTGCATTCTTCAGTACAACCAGGGCTGATATCTCTTGACCAAAGGGCAGCCACATGTACCCTATGCCTTGGCTTCCCTGGCACCTCCTATTGTTCCCTACCTAGGGAACAGATAGTGTAGATCTTTACATCCAGGAAACCTCTCTCTTTAGAAGCAAAGTTTCTGTTTTTAAAGATCCACAGCAAAGTGTCCCAATTCCCCAGCCCACCTGTCACTATCACAGATGTGGGGGCTTAAACACACATAATCCACAGCTGCCATTGTCAGAGGGCCTGTCACATTCTGGGCACTGAGCTCTAGCATCTCATTAACTGTCACAGTAACCCAAAGGCAGCCATCAATTCCCCCTTTTTAAAGACTAGAAAACAGACTCAGATTAAATAAATTTGCCAAGTTCACAGAGCTACTAAATGACTGCAGCATCTTGAGTACTTATTTTTAGTACTCAATAAAATTAAGTTTTTCCATTATGCTATGATGCTTCAAATACCTTCAGGAAGGCTTCTCTTGCATTGGACCTAAATCAACCATGCTCTCTGGGTCATTAGAAATTGTTACCAATTTCCATAAACTAGCAAACTAGTTTTGTTTCTAAGTGACGCTTTTGTTTAAAAGTTTATTCACATGTTTACACTGCTGGTGCTATTGTGAATTGGTACAACCACTACAGAAATTACTATGGAGATTCTTCAAAAGATTAGGCATGGAACCACCATATGACCCAGCTATACCTAATTCCTTGGTATTTATCCTGAAAAATGAAAATCATCTTACTATAGTGATACATGGATTTCTATGTTTGTAGCAGCACAATTCACAATAACCAAACTATAAAACCAGGCTAGGCATCCAACAATAGATGAATGAATAAAGAAGATGTGGTATATATACACAATAGAGTTTCATTCAGTCATAAAGAAGTGAAATTATGTCATCTGTAGAAAAATGGAAATAGAGACCATTATATTAAGTGAAATAGGCCAAATTCAGAAGGTCAAGGGTCATATATCTTTTCTTACATGAGGAAACTAGAGAGGAAAAAGGAAAAGTAAGGTGGAGGAAGGAAAATCTCATGAAAATCAAAGGAATATCAGTAGAATAGAGTTAAGGGACCAGGGAGTGGGAGAATGAGAGGGAGGGGTCAAGGCAGGGGAGTGATATTGGCCAAATATTACTGCTTCATTATGTGCATGTGTGAATATATAACAACAAATCCCACCATTATGTATAAACATAATGCACCAATAAAAAAAGAACAGAAGATAAAGTTTATGCAAATTTTATAAGCATCTAGAATTACAAGCAATCAGGCCATGATCACATACTCTACAAGGGATTAGTCATGGGCCTCCTTTAAATAAGATTCATGTGATCCAACAGGCTGAGAACTAATGATGATCAATTCATCGATCACTTTTTAGAAATCCCTTCAATATTCAGAGCAGGTGTTACAAACACATTGTAAAAATTCTTCCCAGCAATAATAGAATGGCATTTACCTTGTGACAAGGAACCAAGCAATTCTACTGAAGTCTGGAGAGGGTCTCATGTATGTCTTAATATGAGGCATGGCATTGCTGCGGCCAGATGTGTCGGCTGACCACGTGCTAGTGACAGGAGACACAAATCACTGGTTAGAAATAATACAAATCATCATAATTCTAACATTAGGAAACTGCATGAAAAGTAAAATCCTATAATCTGAAAATACCAAGTATACAGTTCTGTAACTTGTGATAGTTTATTAAATTCTATTCAGATAAAAGTCTGATGTATGCTCATTTTAAAAAGAAGGTATGTAGAAAAGGAAAATTTACCATCTTCCATCTTTTTTTTTTTTTTTTTTTTTTTTGCGATGAACATACACACATACACCCATGCATGTATGTCACCTCTTCTGTGTTTCTGCTGCATGTGTGCATGTTCCCTGGCTGGACCACAATCTAACGGCAGGAGTCACAGTCCCCTTGTGCACTATTAAGCCAGAACTTCATAAAAGACTGTCGAATGAAAAACACTAAGTGGGCAAAACGAAGTCTGTCAAAATGCATGAAAAGCAAGGGAAACTAATTTTCCACGAGAATAAATGGCCCTTCTCATGAAGCAACCATTCTTACTATGAGTAGGAGAGGATGTTCCTTCAAGGTAACAGGTGGTCTCCAAGAATCAGGACTAGGTGGGTCCACTGCTTTCTTCAATCAAAATGAATTTAGTAATCTGATACTGAAAGGAGCTCAACACACAGAAATGTCTTCTGTAAGGACAATCTCTCCAGAAAAGTACTAAAAAAGGTTCCGAGAAGACATCCTGAATCTCAGCTGAAAGCTGCTGAAATGTAAACCTGCCTTCACTTCTGACTCTTCAACGATAAATCCCCATTGAAGCAAGTGTGGAATGGAAAGGTTTAGAACATGCAGGTGAGCAAGTGCTATAGCCACAGGAGGACAAGGGCATATCTTTCCCTTTCCACTCATCAACTATTGACTGAACTCCCGTGACACATCGAATACTGTTCTATATCCCAGGCAACAGTGGCACAGGGTTTTGGCCTCAGCAAGCTTGGCCACACATCATTTGATGGCACAGGAAGAATAATTACATTTTATATTTTGGAAAAGTGAACTAAAGTACTGCTTATATAAATCATAAACTACCCAACATGATCTTTTATTTATCTTTTTCTTTGCATACCAATATTTAAATAGAAACCTCACAGAGATAAATTTTACTCTTTGGTATTAAAAACCTATTCCAAAAAATTTTAAGACCCTATTTTAAATTATTTCTATCACTAACATATGTAGATGAAAAAATATAGCTACATTATATAAGATTCTTTTTTAAAACATAGACTGACATAAATAGCTTTCTTATTTCTAAAGAAGTAATAGCAGCACTCTGAACCAATCACTTACTGGAAGTAGGAATGTAGCCAATTCTGTTTTTCAGCTGTCTGGATGCTATAGGGAAGAGAACCTCCAGCTTTTCAAAGAGAAAAATTAAACAAATAAATGCCATGAAATATACTGTGAAGCTTCCCCATTAAGAAAATCTATATTGGGCTGGGGTTGTGGCTCAGTGTTATAGCACTTGCCTAACATGTATGAAGCACTGGGTTTGATTCTCTGCACCACACAAACATAAATAAATGTCCATCAACAACTAATAAACAAACAAACAAACAAAAAAAAAACAAAAGAAGAGAATCTATAATAAACAGTGAGAAGGTAAATAAAAAACAACTGCTTCCATTATTTCATATTATGAAATAATTCTGTGAAAGAAAATGTCTATACTTGCATTAGGTACACTGTCTTATGGGGTTTCCTTTCTTAGTAATAAAAAACATTTAAACAGTAAATGTTTACAATCTGAAAAGAAAAAGGCATTAATCACTCAGTGGTGTCAAGTGAATAACAGATCTGAAGTGTTAGAAAAAAGACATGGAAAGAATCTTGACTCATGCCACTGTCTTTATCAGGTCAGACATCAGTTGCTTCTGCCCAAGACCAGGACACTTGAGGAGGTAGCCTCTGATGACAACATATGTGCCTGTTTACTCTGCCTTTATGCATGGCTATTTTCAAACAGGCTTTGTACTAACTGAACAGATTCTTAAAGAATAGAAGAACTGGAAGATAAATTAAAACATTCAATAACTAGTTTGGGTTAAAAAAAAAAAGGGGATCCCAAAAGTTTTATTCTTGAAAAGAGAATAAAGACACAATTGCAAGTGGAAACACAATTAGAAACCAATTTTTGTTCATCTTTGAAAGGAAGAAAACTTAGGTTCATCAGTGATTTTCTGAAAGCATGTTGGACTTCTCAACAGTAAGCTACTTCCAGAGAGGGTTTTTTAAAAAAATTAATTTTTAGTTGTCAATGGACTTCATTTTATTTTTTTATATGTGGTCCTGAGAATTGAGCCCAGTAACTCACACATGCTAGGCAAGCATTCTACCACTGAGCCACAACCCCAGCTCCAGAGAGGGTTTTAAACAACTGTGATATTCCCATAAGATTTGTCCAGGCTCCTACTGCAAATAACTAAAATCATATTCTGTTTTAGAACCAGTTATAAAATATTATAAAATTGAAAATACCATGCTCTTCCCTGTTAAAAGTGACTATGAATAGATCTAGCCTATTAGAGGCACAGAAAGATGACAAAAGAAAAACTACTACCATGTCTCAGAGTCACAGTAAAATAATTTTAGTTTTGCCATTAAACAGCAAAGAACAGGCTAATACACGCTGAACTTTTAATAGAGATTTTTCTGGCAAAGCTACATCTAGTTTGATAAGCAATAAGTGGACTGAATTAGTCTTAATTCCATGCATTCAGCTTTTAGCCATTGGTGAATGCCAGCCAGACTCTGCTTTTACCAGAGGCTCGTTCTCTCTGGGTTTTAGTTAATATCTCTCGATTGCACTGTTAGGATGCTGTGAATTCCACGTAAAAGTTTAGCACACAGTATTAGTTTAAGGGAAACAAGACAGCAGGTTGGTATATGTTCACAAGATAATACAAGGTATTTGCAGAGAAAGTCCTTGAAAGAACAGACATATAGAACCAAGTTACACCTAAGGTAATATTAAGACAGGGCAGAGAGGTTGTGGAGAGAGGACGTAAAGGAAATGTGAGATATGCTCTAGAGGAAGCTGAGTCTTATCTGGACCACCCAACTGCTGGACACCTTATTGGTAAAAATGGGGAGAAAAACAACTGCACACAGTGAGCATTAAATAATTCCTCCACTGCTCAGTTTGGCAGTATCATCTTTGGAACACTGCAGAACTGGAACATGGCAGAGCTCAACATTATCTATCTTCGTGATCCTTCTCCAGTTAAGAGAAAACCATCTCCATGTTTCTAACCAATAGTAGCTAGCAAATTTCTAACTAATTCTGGTAAAAATTCTTATTGATGGAATATACAGAAAACCCACAACAAAGAAACACCCCAAGAACTTCCCCAAGAATTACCAGGGTATCCTTCTAAGCTGGTCCGAACATTTTCCACAGAAGGATAGATCTAAACACAAGCAAAAAAGAGAAAAACAATAAAACTTAGCATGTACCACGCTGATAAAAAGGAATGATGACCAGCTCTAAAGAAAATGAAAATCTTAATTAAAAATACTTATTTCCAAAATTTAGAAAATACTGCTTTAAACCTGAAAAAAGGTTTCACCTTACTGAAAAAACAAAACAAAACAAAAACAAAACCTGCACTAGTAACTAACATACAGGAAGCATAAATATTTGATGAAAAAAATTAAACTCTGATTTGAATATTTTTTCTTCTGAAATGCCAAATTAATGTTGACTTGAATGTAAAACTAATCATTAATTTGCAGGTCTCTGAATAATTCACAGACCCTATAATTCTGCTAGTAATATCATACCAAATATTTTTTCCTTTTTGTGATAACCTGAAAGAATGGAAAAATTGCAGGCTAGACTGCGACTGAAACAGGCTCCTGAACAAACTAGCAAATGCCCAGCACTGGCAGATACTGGGGCCACTCGATTACCAGTGGTAATGCAAATGTACTGCTCTTTCTAGCCCAAAATCACAGAATAAAAAGCATCTCTGTATTAAGAGGAGGACTGACTTTCATTTCCCCTAGACTGGAGAAGAGAAACATGTTAACTCAAGGAGGAGGAGAACTCACCAAATGAAGAGGAATGGTGCTTTTTCCTGGAATTTTACTGTCCTGCCAGGGGCCCAGCAAGCTCTCTTTAAACTCAGAACACAGCCATTTGGATTCATCAGCCCCCAGTGAGCCAATGCTGGAAAACTGACCCACTATAGGCCAGCACTCGGCTTTTGGGATTGACGAGGTGTGTTCTCTCAGAAGCTATGACAGAATAAAATGAATGTGAGTCACTCAAATAACATTAACAGAAATGCCCTACACCAAAAACATGGATTTCTGCCCTTGGAATGCCTAATTACTGGGGTCATGAAGTTTTCCTTTCCAAAATTCTTTGATTTTGATAAAACTAAACCAGGTTTAAAGAATTTTAAAAAGATCCATTTTAGTAGAAATGTCAAGATACACCACGAACCTACCACATGAAATTAGATTTTTGCCTTGAAATCCTAATTGTCTAACACACCCAAATAAGACACACAAGACAATTGCACATTTTGGCTTCTTTCACATGAAAGGAGCTTAACATTCCCATTTAATACTCAGGCTCCAGGTAGCTGTGATGATATAAAAATGAAAAAGAATATATTTACATATAGATAATACCATCTTCGGCACCACAGAGTGATCTGAGTTTTCTGCTTTGATACTGATGCAAAGTAGCAGAAATAATTCGGAAAATATTTGGAAATTTCATCCACTCAACATGTACCAAGTGTCTACCTGGAGCCTGCAGAATGCAAGGAAAAAAAGTCACAGTTGTTGCCCGAGTAGAGCTCAATCTGACCGAAGTTTTGTTTAATTTTATATGTGTTATTTTCCTTAATACAGCTTGGACACCAATATTTACAAACAACAAAAAGACCCAAGTTTTCAACTTCCACCTTGTGGCAACATGAAGTAGGAAACAGAACTGCACCAACTATAAGACCCAGTTTCTACTTAGGGCTCCCCCCAATGACCTGACAAGCCTGTGCTCCGACACACACACTTCAGCAAACAGTCACCTGCCTGCCTTCCCTGGAGAGAGCTGTGATGCAACATGAGCTACTGTGTGGGAAAGGCGGTCTGAAAATTCAGATGGTATCAACTTTCTGTGACTGTGGTCACACATGATAAATGCTCTCACCTAGCCTGTCTAAACCATTAATGCACACCTACACGTCCTTAAAGGGTACCTACACGTGCCTGGTCCTGTTTCACACTCACTATGCCATTAATCCTTGCCTAATTCCAAGAGGGAAGTGCCATTGCTATGGCCATTATATAGGTGACAAGAGAGGCAGGTTGAAGAACAAGTCAAGGTCACCTGGTTTGTATGTAATAGGTTAGGATTTGAACCCAGGTGGGGGTTTCTCCCCGCTACAGGTGTGCCCAGAGCCAGTGGACTCAACTACCTGCCTAGGTCAAGCCATAAAGATGCTGACTTTCAGATCTTGCTTACTTTATGCTCTAGTCTCATTTCAGGAAAAATAAACTAAAAATACTGTATAAGATTAACTTTAGGCTATGCATACAAGGTATATATGAAACAGATGAACTTTGTGTTTAGACTTGGGTCCTATCCCCCAAATATCTCATGCAAATATTCCAAAATCTAAAAATAATCTCAAAACTCAAACTCTTCTGGTACCAAGTATTTGGATAAGGGATTTTAGGGCTAGGTATAATTTATAGAATAAGAGATGAGGCTTTTAAGAAAGCCACTTTAGGGAATTGATTAAGGTTATTAAAGAAAGCTAAAAAAAAAAAAATGAATCTTCAACTTTCTTCTTGTTTCATCCTGTTAAAGACTTTTCTTTGTTCCTATTCACACCAGCAGCAAATGACATTTTTTATTCATAGTCTTCTTAAGGTCACAGATTTGGTAAATGAAATACATTATAGCTAAGTTACAGCCTTTCCTCAACATTGCTATTTTTGTTAAACTTGCATGTTAAAAATCCTTGATATGCTGAACAATCAAAAGTTATAATAGTTGTATAAATGGGAAGCCTCTGTCTTTCCTGTAAGATGTGTAAAAACTAAGAAAAAGCCCATATGCTGGTGCCATTTAGAACAACTGACATCTATAAAAGAGGCATAAAGATTAAATTAAAGGTAATTACTGAAAACTAAAATTAGACAATGTATTGAGTGCCTGCTACTCTCCCAAAATTGTTCTGGAAATATTGTGAAGCTTCCATCAAAATACACCATTTATATATGAAAGAAAATACATTAAAGTTTTAAAAACAGTAAAAGTTCTATTACCTTCCTAAGCCTAAAATGTCCCCAATTATCCTTCTGACTTCCTTGAAAGCGTCCGGGGGTTGAACCAATAAGGTAAACACTAAAAAAAAAAAAAAATTTTAAAAAATGCAAGTTACAGAACAGAGATATACTTTGCTACCTAGAGATCACAGAACCATGAAAAAGACTGTAATTATGCAATGTTCTAGAAGCCAAACCATTTTCTTGTGCTGCCTCTTAACAGTAGTAACTGATGCTTAAAACTTATTTTGAAACAAACCAGATAATGTTGGTACCTACTATGTGCAGAGCACTGGGCAAAATAACTGACTAATTTGAAGTGTGCCCAGGAGAAGGTCTGACAAGCTGCACTGCCTCGCCAATGTCTCAGAGCCCCAGGGTGCAGGGTGAGGGAGCCTGCCCTCCTCCTTCATCACATCACGCAGCACAGCCTGACACCACTCCACCCCTTACCGAGGCCCCTGAGCTCCAGACTTGAGTGACTTGCAAGGCATGAACACAGTAGAAGCACCCCAAATAGGTAAGAGGACCCTTACTTTGTTTCAGAGAGATCGTGCTCCTGGATGGTGTCAATCCACTCTTGAAGAGGAGGGGCATTGTAAGCCTTCAAGTAACTGATGAGATCAGCTTTAAAATGCGTTGTTGATTCTCCAGATCTGTGGGTTTGCTGGCCAATTCGTGGGTATAGGGGGCTCAACCATATTCTGAAATGGAAAAACAAACAAACAAATAGATAAAACAAGCCTTACCAGTCAGGAGCACAAGTGATCACAGTGATAACTCTATACTGGTTTTACAATTCACCCTAAGGAAGAGGTGAATTCTCACGCTATCTTCACATAGTAAGTGGAATGACTCTTAGAGAATATGAAACAAATCTGATCACACCACTTCATGGCTTACCATCATAGCCAGATGTGAATGCCCTGGCATGAACTCAATTAAGACCCACTAAGACCTGGCCTCTATCCACTTCTCTCAGCCCACATTCTTCTGGCTCCCTCTTATGCCCTGACCATGCCTTCCAATTTCCCTTCTGACTGGGGTATACCTCTGTGTTGCTTTCTAAGACTTGATGACAATAGTTCAGAGTTCTACTCCTAATGGTTACAGAAAGTCACCATCTGTGGTAATCCCAGCAAGAAGTCCATATCATGGACACATCAACATAGCCCTTTAGTCAAATGGGAAATAAGAATCAAAAGTTGTCTATACAAAAATGTATGTGCAAATCTATTTTCAATAAACAACAAACTCATTTTTGTAATGAATATGCCACTTTCATAATGGATAATGGAACCATGTGAAGCAGTTTGAGATCTATCCTTATAGCCCATATTTTCTGGTGTCTAGAATGAGTATATACCTCATCTAATATTATATTAACCTCAAATTTACAAATACTTAATTCAGTGATGAAATATTAAAGATACCTTCTGTTTCATCAATTCTTTTTCTGAAAAGGGAACCAATGTGCCTGCAAAACTTCTATACCATACCCGCAAATGGAAACAACCATATCTACACCCAATCTTTCTATAAGCCTCTCCATGTGTGGTAAATGACAAAAGTATGGCTTCAGACCTCTTGTGTTTGAGGACTGGATTAAGCGCTTGTCTCCCAGGGCGATTGCAAAGTTGGCCACAAGGCAATGAATGAATGGTACTGATGCACAGAAGCACTCAGAGCATCAGCTGCTACTGCCTTTCCTCCTTCGGTGGCTACTTCCCTACAGTTCTACCCACCAAGCCAAAAGGGAAATTGCCCAATTCCTCTTTCACCTTGCTGCCTTAAAGGAGGCTGGTGAGCTGCAGGCCTTTGCCTCCTGGTGTGTAAAGTGACTGGCTGGGGTAGATGGATGTGTACATTTCCTTGAGAGAGCACCTTGGAGCTCATAGGTGAGAGGCTCACTCACAGGAGGGCTCCAGATGAGGACCACAGCAGGAAATGACCTTCTAAAGTAGGATGCTGAGAGATGAGACATTTTTCACACTTCACAAAATGAGAACAGAAAAAGTGGACCAGTGGCAGCTGAGGAAGATGGATGAATACCTGCACAGCAGAAGACCTGCCAGACTGCAGCAGACCAATCACAAAGATCTTATGCACAAAAAAATTGCTTTCAAAAGTTTCTTAAAAACCACCACAACCCCACAACATGAAACTGCAAAGTTGACAGAGCCTAACACAGTCTAAGAATGAGACAGCAGTGCCCATATCATGGTGGCTGGTGGGGGCAAGCTGGAATTTCATGTTCTTAGTAGGTGGACTTCTGAACCATGTGAAGCTACTACCTAGTCCACACATTTAAAAAAAAAAAATTAAGAAAATGTTTTTAATAAAGGGGGGAGAAAAGGGCACAACCACCCTTACCCTTAATCTTTCCCTCATAGCAACCACCTAAGGAAATACCATGGCCCATAAGCTCCAGCTCAGGACTCTAGAATGAGCTAGAGGCCCTGGCAAGCTTCATGGAGCTGCCTAAGGCTGGGAGCCAACTTGAAAACCCCTTTAGTTTCGTTAATCACAGTTTCCCTAAGAATTAGCTATACTAAATCTCGTTTCCTTTCCTGATGGGACTACATATGAGCCCCCAAACCCAATCTGGCAGCTTAGAAGTGTTCAGGACAGCAAAGGCAGAGCTGCCTGTAAATGCGGTGGATCAAGGAATCCTGTGATACTGGACCCTCCACAATGCTGTCCTCTCAGAGGTCGGTTTTAAGAGGGTCACTGGAAAACTAGAATAATTTTATCCTGCACGGCACACTTGGGTTGAAACAGGCCTAATGGGTGGAAGCTGGAAGGTTCTCTATCCCAGCATAGAAGTGCTTGGGAAAGCTCAGGCAGAGGTGGGAAGATCTGAACTAGGAGTTCCAGCTGAGGCTGCGTAATGATACAGGGCAGGGGAGGATGACGGCACGAGACAGATGCCAGGGTATCTTCCAACAGAGCAGGCTGTTAACCAGCTCCTCTGAGGAAAGGCAAAGATGTGCACAACAGCTGAAATCAAAGAGGGAACCTCAAGCTATTCACAGTGAAGAGCTTACCAGGGCAGAGAGAAGAGCCAAAGTTGCTTTGAGCAACTACCTAAAATCCCTCTTAAAAGCAAACCCCTTTTAAAAAAGTGATCAAAAACCAAATCTACATGTACTCTAAGAACAATGGATGAATAATAAAAAATTCATGAAAATTTTCACAGTTTTTCTTTTGCAAATTCACATCCATACTAAAGGCTCTAAAAAGACAATTGTTTGTTTCATGGGACAATAAAGTGATTCAGGTGTGGGGAAACTTTTAGCATGCTATTCCTGCCCCATCCCAAATTTTCCTTTATATCTTTTTTGGCCAGTGACCAGCAAGAGTCCAGATGGGTACCAGGATGAGCAGAAACCAAGAAAGCTACCTGGTAAGTCCTACGGGGCAATACTGGGCCCAGGCCTTCAGCTCTGCAGCTCCTTCCCAGCCCCAGATGCTTTGTAGATGCTGTAGAGATGTATATGATCTGACTTCTGTAAAAACTGGGAGAAAATCTATTGTGTATAAATATACAAATATATATTTAGAGAAAGTTGTGGATGATTATGCACAGAGAGTGAGTTGAAGGGTGGGTAGTGAAGAATACTATAGGGACTGGGGCTGTTGCTCATTGGTGGAGCATTTGCTAGCATGCATGAGGCCATGGATTTGATCCCCAGCACTGTAAAAAACAAAACTCTTGCAACTTTTTCTGCATATTTGTGCAATTAAAAGAGCTGAAAAAGAGAATGAAGTGAATATTCTAGCTTTTGATTTTTCTCAGCACAAATAGCAACTGCCAGGGAGTGAACAGGCCCCTACAAACCCTTGGGTTTTCTGGTGCCAGTCTTCATGGATGAGGTTGGAGGTGTGTATGACAACCCGGAGGCCTTCTTCGTACAGCAGTAGCATCATCTTCCTTCAAAGACAAAAGGAATCAAAAGGCAAAGCATTAGCAAAACCTTAAAAAATATGTAATACCTTCTAACTCAAATGTAGTCAATAGCTAGAGGAATTCTCAAACTCATATTACCCAAACTTATAATATTACAACTCTTATAGTATTCCCTTCTACACATCACCATTATGAAAATCTGCTCAAATGACAGAAAGTCATCTTCCAAAAATGCTTCAATGTTCATGGTAAATGGACTTCCCCCACTGTCTACAAGGCCAGTCCTGATCCTTCACCCACCCCACCTAGTCCCTCATCATCTGTTCAAAATTACATTATTATTGACAACAGGAAACTTCTCGCCCAGTGTTTTTCAAAGAATGGACATAAATCTTGCTGTGGCTTGGCGAGCATGCTTTAAACAACTGAAGTAGAATAACTCATAACATACTGCATATATTTAAATAAAGTATTGGTTTAAGAAACTTTTGGTTTAACACATAGGCCTGGCTGTGTGCAGTACACCAAAATGTAAAACCTATTCAATGAGTTGCAATTTTTAAAAATTTGCAGGTGCTTCATCCCCATTAGACTTATTTATTTATTTGTATCCAACAGGTGCCACGCTTGTCGCCTTATGCATATGGACTTCAGGTAAATCTTCCTTTTCCTCTGTTAACTCACATCAGATCCAGTTGAGTTCTCTTTTCTTCCAGGGGGACTTTCTAGGTCATCAAACATTTCTCTTATGTACTTCCAGTGAGAGAGGAAAGAGGATCTAAACAAGAGCTTTCCATTTGAAACCTGAAGACTTGAGCTACAGCCTTTCTTATTAAGAAGCCCGAGGAAACCATTCAGTGTTCCTGAGCCTGTCTCTCATGTGTAACCTGAAGGACCCTCCCTACCTCCTCGGGACAAACCGCACTCTGCTCAGTGTCAAACACTCTGGTGTATTCACCCCCATGGCTCCTTCAGGGTCCTGCTTCATTCTATAATTCAATGTTGGGTGATTTTCATCTTCCCATCATTTTCTAATTATTTCTGTAATTTAAGTTTTCTCTCACTAGTGTCACTTCTCAAGGCTGCACCTCTGTCTTGACTTAATTTCTCATTTCCACTGAGGCTCAAATATGAACTCTGTTCCTATATTTGGCAAAAAAAAAAAAAAATACACACACAACAACAACAACAACAAAAACCCCGAACCACCAGTTCTCGCCAAATAAACAGCCACATGGATACTATCGGCAGGATGAGGTCAGCATCAAAAGATAAGAGAGGACAGAACAGGAGAAAAGAGAATGTGATCTTCAGCTCCTGCCAAGATGAGAAATTAACCCAACCCAGCAAATAGTGAATTAATGCAGAGCAGGAGAAATGACAGCTGCTGAGACATCTTCTTTCCAGTTATGAAATGTGCTCCCTGAAATCTGGGCAAATTTTCATGCACAGTTTGCTACATTAGCAGCTGACTATAATTAAGGATAAGCCAGTTATGGAACCATGATGTAAATTTTACAAATATTTCCATTAATCAAGGCATCAATTATCAGAAAAATCATGCACTAATGTCAGGGAATTCTATCAAAATAGGATTATGAATTAATTTCAGGGGAACCATACCAATCTTTTCATAGATAAAAGGACATTGCCACTAAGGTCCCAGTTAAAGAGAGGTAGGAAAGGGTGAGGAACACAGTCACCCTCGAAGAGGTGGACTAGCCATAGTCTCTCAGCAGTGAGAGTGGCAAAGGGGAGACTTCCCAAATGTGAGGCCAGTCCCTCCAGGGGAAGAAACGAATGCTCACCAGGCACCGTTCCAGACACTGCAGCCGGGTCAGCACACGAGGTGAGGCAGGGCAGGGGAGCTACTCTTATTTTAGTACTACAGAATCTGTGGCTGGGAGGGGTAACGGAGATCATCTAAGTCACAAAGTGAGACAGTGGGAGAGCTCGTTGGGATCACAAGCTAGTGACCCCTTCAGTGTGCTCAACTTTAACAGGGTATATGACAGTGGGAGAGAGCCTGGCCACAGGTCAGTGGGAAGGGACATGTTCCACCCATCCTGTGACTGAGACTGGCTCCTGCTTAGAAGGTGCATTTTCCATTCAGCAGCTTTGGCTTTCTCTCCCCCTCCCCACATCTGATCTTAGGGCCAGGGTAACTGTGGTCCCAGCTCTGGGGGGGGGGGGGGGAGCCAAAGAGCTTTACCATTTTAAAATGTTGAGAGAGGCCACAGGATCACATAGCAGCCTGCAGGCACAGGATGGAGCAGGTTTAATGCCTCAGGAGACTGAGCTTTGGGGAGATGGGCTGCATCTTGATTACTTTTGAGTGCTCTGCACCTGCACCTGGGCAATGCAGGCCTGCTCAGGTGTGCACCATCTCAGAGACTGCCTTCCATCTTCACTGTCGCTGGCCCCTCCTGTCAGGGAGGTGAGGTAGCTTACACCTCATCTCCACGAGAGAAAGGATTTTCTCTTTTTCTAACTCGCTTGTGTGTTCTGCTTCGCTCACCAAAGATGAAAAGCTGTAAGGACAAAACTATCCTCCAGGTCTGTGACCCAAGAACATAATGGGATTTAGCACACCATTCTTAAAACAAAAAGCAGCTAAGAGTGATTTCAAGACATGAACTCTGTCTTCTAAAATACTGGATTTCAACAAAACGCAAACTGCAGATCCTACCTAGTTTGGAAGGTTCTATTATAGTTACTTCCTTAAGCATTTTAAATCCTGAATTAAGACCTCACGGGGCTGGGGTGTAGGTCAGTGGTAGAGTGCTGGCCTAGCATGGCCAAGGTTCAATCCTTGACACAGCCAAAAAACAAAAACCAAACACTTTATTCAGATTTAATGTGGCAAATTGTGTATGGGAATGGGGGGGGGGGGGAGAGAGAGAGAGAGAGAGAGAGAGAGAGAGAGAGAGAGAGAGAGAGTTAGTTAGTTTTGAATGGACCAAGGGAAACCATGATGTCAACTGCAATAGTGAACAAACAAGAACAAATTAAAAACTGAAGTTAAAATAAATAATGTATTCTATGCCTGTCTGCATCACTGGCACAAGAAAATCAGCTACCTATTCTGGGTCTGAGTTTCCTGATCTATAAAATCAAAAGGTCCAAATATTGCCTAAGAGCATTAAACAAAGCATCTCTCCTTCTCCCCACACCACCATGTGTGTGCAGTTCAGCGTGGCTGTGCCAGATTCTGGCAGCCTACCTGCTTGATCCCTCCTGGGAGTGACCCTGTAACTGACAACAGCAGTGCAGGGGTTGACTATTCACTCCTAAGGCTCATCCCACAGCACAGGCCACACTGCCGGCACAGAAACCTAGTGCTGGAGGTCTAGCAAATCATGGCCAGATCCATGAGTGATAGGCTAACTCCATGTATTCTTGAATCAGTTAAGTACTTATGCTGGGATTTTAGCTCAAGGTGGGGGACAACCCATTACTGCCTCTCCTTGATGGTATTTTGTATCCTCTGCTGATCCTATAAACTCAGGGATATTAAAAGAATATTTTACACGTGAGTTCACTCTCAGTCCTCAAGCCTGTCCTCTGAACGTGGGGCTGCAACACCCCAGGGCATCTGAAACCAGATCCCAAGGCCAACACCTGGCTTCTCTTCCACTGCAGTCCCTTCTCAAGACAGACTGGCAAAAATAACAGCTGTCAGCACACAAGGAGAAGACGACCATCATGCCACCACTCAGACCATCTTGACAAGACAACAATAGCTGCAGCCAGATTCCAAACACACCTCCCCTCTCAGGGACTCCTTTCTGCCCTGAAGAAACGCCTGGAGCAGCTGGCTACTCACCACCAGTCTAGAAGAAAGACGAGGTTTCTTACAAATCTTTACAGGAAAATGTGATTTATAAGGATATTAAATTAGTGATAGTTGTGTCTTTTCTCTCATTTGTACCATCAATTGCTTTGAAAGAGGACTCAGTAAGAGTTATACAACTCATGCAAGATAAATGGGGTTAAAGTGATAATTACTTGCAATGTGTCAAACAGGATGGGAAAAATTTTTTTCCTATTTATTATATTGCAGAAAATTATTCTAAAATATCTGTCTTGTGCCAGGATAGGCTTTTCAAGTTGATAATTTTTGGTAAGTAGTTTTTCTTTCAATCATAGAATGGAGTTGACCAATGATATGCTATTCAATACAATTCATTCTTACCAATCACAGAACTTTTTAAAAGCAGGGGAATCTATAGGCACATGACCTGCACACATAGTCCACCCAACCACAATCAACTCCTTCAAGCCAGGTCTACCAGGAGTCCTCAATGGAAGGCAAGAGTCACAGATTTAAAACTTCATGCTGAGACTCAGAATCTGAGTACAACAGTTAATGCTTTAGAAGACAACATCACTTAATCCATTACTGATCCAACATCCCATATTAGTTCTTGTAAGGGCACTTTTTGCAAGCGTATCCCTTTATCTATTAAAATCACATCCTCCCCCATTTCATGAGAGTTGCTTACGTGTGGTGTGTTCCAAATGCAATATCCAACTTTGCCTAGGATGAAAAAAAATTGAGTTATTCTTTTTAAAAAGGATCAAGTAATAATAATCCTATCTATTAGAAAATAAATTAGAAAAGGATCAAACTAACTTTAAAAAAACTTCTTTTACTGCCCTCTAAATTAAGACAGCTTTTAAAAAAAAATTTGTTCTTTTTAGTTACACATGACAGTAGAATGTATTCTGGCATATTATACATACATGGAGTATAACTTTTTAAATTAGGATCCTATTCTTGTGGTTGTACATGATGTGGAGTTACCCTGGTTGACAAATACAAGGTTGGGAAAGTTATGTCCAATTAATTCTACTGTCCTTCTTATTCCCATCCCCACTCCCTTCGCCTCATTTTCCTTTGTCTAATCCAACAGATTTCTATTCTGCCCACTTTGTTGTAGGTTAGCATCCACATATCAGAGAGAACATTTGGCCTTTGGTTTTGGGGGATTGGTTAATTTCACTTAGCATATCTCCAGTTCCATTCATTTATCAGCAAATGCCATAATTTAATTCTTCTTTAAGGCTGAGTAATATTCCACTGTGTATATATACCACATTGTCTTTATCCATTCATTTGTTGTGGGGCACCTAGATTGGTTCCATAGCTTGGCAATATCCAACTTTGTGAATTGAGCTGCTATAAATATTAATGTAGGTGTATCTGATTTTAAGTTCTTTGGGTATATGACTGAGGACTGGGATAACTGGATCAAATGGTGGTTCCATACTGCTTTTCATAGTGGCTGCACCAATTTGCAATCCCATCAACAATGTATGAGAGTACTTTGTCTCTACATCCTCGCTGTTTTAGTCAGCTATTTTGCCACTGTGACTAAAAAAACCCAACCAGAAGAATTGTAGAGGAGAAAGGGTTTATCGGTGAGCTCCCAGTTTCAGAGGTCTTAGTTCATAAAAGGCTGGCTTCATTTATTATTCTCCAGGTGAGGGAACGTCATGGTGGAACAGTGTGGCAGAGGGGAGCAGCTCACGTCATGATCAGAAAGCAGAGAGATCTCCACTTGCCAGATACCTATATATTCTCCAAAGCCACGCCCCCAATGCCCTACCTCCTCCAGCCACACCTCACCTGCCTTCAGTTATCAATTAACCCCATCAGGTGATTAATTCACTGATTGAATTAAGACTCTTGTGACCCAATCATTTCTTCTCTAAACCTTCTTGCATTATCTCACACATGAGCTTTTGGGGACACCTCACATCCCAACCATAACATTCGCCAATATTTATTGTTACTTGTGTTCTTTATACTTGCCATTCTGACTGGAGCGAGATGGAATTTAAGTGTAATTTAATTTGCATTTCTCTAATTGCTAATTGCTAGAGAAAAGCAAATTAAAATTGCATGGCATTGACACAAAAACAGACATGAAGACCAATGGTACAGAATAGAAGACACAGAGACTAATATAATAAAAATTATTTCATACTAGACAAGGCTCCATAAACATACACTGGAGAAAAGATAGCTTCTTCAACAAATGGTGCTGGGAAAACTGGAAATCCATATGCAGTAGAATAAAACTGAACCCTTATCTCTCACCCTGCACAAACTTAACTTGAAGAGGATCAAGGACCTAGGCATTAGTCCAGAGACCCAGTTCTTATTAGAAGAAAAAGTAGGCCCAACCCTACATCATTTATTGAGGCAGCTTAGGAACTGACTCCTTCAACAAGACTACCAAAGCGTAATAAGTACAATCAAGAATTAATATATGGTATAAAACTAAAAAGCTTCCTCACTGCAAAGGAAACAATCAGGAATGTGAACAGAAAGCCTATAGAATGGGAGAAAATCTTTACCACCTGTACCTCAGATAGAGCATTAATTAATCTCCAGATTATAAAAAGAACTCAAAAAACTTAACACTAAAAACCCCCCAAAACCAAAATAAATAAATAAATAAATAGGCAAAAGAACTGACAGGCACTAATCACAGAATAAGAAATATGAACGGTCAAAAAAATATATGAAAAAACATTCAACAAGATAGCTTTTATATAATCCAGAAAGGCTCATTTAAAAAAAATTACTTTTTTCTGCTCAGAATGATTCAATATATACTGCATTTTTAATTACAGTAATTAGGAGTAAGAAGTCTAATTTCTTTAGTTGTCAAAAAACTAATAAAACAAATGATTCTAAGTAGTTTAAAATTAGATCTTTGGTTTGTTATAGAAGAAACCAATATACACAAAGTTTTCAGAGCACATTTAGAAGAAACACTGAATGTGTGTGTTGGCAACAAAAAAATGTTAAAAAAAATCTCTTATACTGAAGACCTTGGTTAAGCATAAGATGCCAGAAGGCAGAGACCATGAAAGAATCAAAATAAACAACTATGGAAACAGCTTGGCGATCAGCAATGCAGTACTTGGGCTCAAATCTTGTCTTCCGAATTTTGCATAACTTTGGAAAACACTTTATGATTTTTTTGTCTCAGCTTTCTCCTCTTCTAAAGAGGGTACTGTTACAAGATTTAGAAAGCTGTATAAGGAGCAAATTAGGAAATATAAAATGCTTAGGAAAAGGTCCCTGAATGCAGTAAGCATATCACCACGGTGGCAATCCCTACCACCACCTTTCCCTCACCCTGCCTCCCTCCTCACTGCATGATGGAAGGGTGGAACTATCTGCTGGGGCAGCAATGGTATACACAGGTAGGTACAACACAGCTCCTGGTTTGGGGACACTCACAGACCTGCATGCATTTACGTGCTCTGGACAGGGTGAGAGAGTTGGGAACTGTACTACATATCCTTAAAGTTATAAAATTAGAAGGAACATTATCACTTTGTAAACATACTTAGCTCGGAAAGAACAATGGTCAAGAGACCTGGCTCTTGACTTTAGTTTTGTTATAAGTTATATGCTTTTAGGCACAAGAAAACACAATGCCTTTATTTTGTTTATCTTTTCAAAAAGATAATGTTTGATGGATGCTTTTTTGGGCTAATGTATCAAATCCTTTAAACTCTATAGTGAATGGCATTAGCAATCCATTTTAACCATGAAGAAATTAGGCTGACACAGTTAGGTTTAAGTGACAAGACTAGCAAGACACAACATTATGGAGTGAATATTGGGTGACCCCCTTCCAAATTCTTATGTTGAAGTCCAAACCCCAAGATGACTGTATTCAGAGAGAGAAACTTTATGGAGGGAATTAAGGTTAAATGAAGTTCTAAGGTGGGAACAGATCCAATGTGATGAGCATCCTCATAAGAAGAAACACCAGAGCACTTGAGTGGCCTCCCCACTTCCCTGTGCCATGTGAGAAGACCAGGAGAAGGTGGCCATCTACAAGGCAGGAAGAGGGCCCTCACCAGGACTTGGGTTGGTGTGCATCTGGATCTCAGATTTTTGGCTTCCAGAATGGTGAGAAATAAAGGCCTGCAGGTAGAGATCTTAGACAAAACCTGGCAGTATGACTCCTGACCACCCCAAGGCCTCAACTTCTGGCCTTAGGCCCCACATTTGCAAAATGGGAGAAGTGCCAGCACCCACTGACTCCTTGACTAATGTGCCTTGGCTTCAATGATGATGCTGGAAAAAATCACAATTCATCTTACAGACAGGGTATGGCTCAAATGGCTATATTCTGCTCTATCTCCAACTTTTTTAAAAAAATATTTTTTTAGTGTTGATTGACCTTTATTTAATTTATTTATATGCAGTGCTGAGAATTGAACTCAGTTCCTCACACATACTAGGCAAGCGCTCTACCACTAAGCTACAATCCCAGCCCTATCTCCAACTTTTGAGCTGGGAAAACTTTTGTGCAGCTTTCTTGGTGCAAGTTTTGGAGGAAGGGTCTTGTTATGCCCCCTAGTGGCCAGCATGAGTATGTATGCCATCAGACACAGAATGCTCTCTCCTAAACCTTCTAGTGTGGGTGGTTAGTATTTGAAAAACACTTTCTATTCCCATTTAATCATTGGTTTTCAAGATTCCTATGCCAATTTATTTCTGTCTACTTTTTAAAAAATTTTAATTCTGTCTACTTTTTAAAATTTATTACTATTTAGTGTGATGGGAGATACCCTACTACACTTTAACAACTTCTTTGTTGCTGGAAACAGAAGCAGAACAATGGAATTTTAGGCAACTCCTGAGCAGAGGCATATCACATGCATAAAGATGAGCCACAAACATGACATTTGTGGGATGGAAAAAGGCACATTCTAAAACCATAACTACATAAAGTGAAGAGGGCTAAATTAGGGAAAATGCTATGAGGTTTGTTTAAAATGGATACTAAGCTCTCATACTATTTTTTTTAAATATTTACTTTTTAGTTATAGAGAGATACAATATCTTCATTTTATTTTCATGTGGTGCTGAGGATCGAACCCAGTGCCTCATAATGCTAGGTGAACAGTCTGCCTCTGAGCCAAAAATCCCAGCCCTTTCATGCTGCTTTTTTTTTTTTTCCATTTGTAGATGAACACAATGCCTTTATTTTGTTTATCTTTATGTGGTGCTAAGGACTGAACCCAGTGCCCCACACGATAGGCAAGCACTCTACCACTGAGCCACAACCCCAGCCCCGTTTTTGTTTTTTTAAAATTTTTTTCTTAGTTGTAGTTGGACACAATACCTTTATTTATTATTTATTTTTATGTGGTGCTAAGGATTGAACCCAGTGTCTTGCACGCGCTAGGCGAGCACTCTACCGCTGAGCCACAACCCCAGCCCCGTTTTTGTTTTTTTAAAATTTTTTTCTTAGTTGTAGTTGGACACAATACCTTTATTTATTATTTATTTTTATGTGGTGCTAAGGATTGAACCCAGTGTCTTGCACGCGCTAGGCGAGCACTCTACCGCTGAGCCACAACCCTAGCCCCTCTCATACTATCTAAATATTTTAAAAATACAGATATCATTTATAGTTGGAAGAGTGATACAATGAGAGCTAAAATTCTTATATTGTGTTTAAGTAGGGAAGAAAAGACCCCAGACAGAAAATGGCAAAAGATGTCAGGTAGCATGCACTGTGCCCCAGAGCAGGAATCTGGAGCCAGTTTCGCCAAGCTGATGGCAAGAGAGGTCTGAAGGCGCCTTCACCATGTTTTCTCAGGAACGGTCTCACAATCCTGCTAGAAGGATCAGCAGCTACTTACAACACCCTTTCTACAGGAAAGAAATCTTAAATGTAAAAGATTCTTCTGAATTCCTTTCTTCCCACTTCATCTTTTCTTGGTCAGAATGACACTTGAAGTAAGAGGTCTGTTGGGATGTGGGGAAAGCAGTGGGTCTTAACAAAAGTGTGAGACTCACCTGCACACTGCAGCCCGACCAGTCTATCAGGACAAGATTACGGGAGCTTTTTTGCCTTCTTTTCTACTTTGCTTTGGTCCCAGCAAAGCAAGTGTATACCTGATATGAGACCATTCAATATTCCCTCACTGGACTTGGACAGGATGCACACAGAACTCACCAAAGTCTCCTAACAGTCTCTTAGTCTATGGGACTTTCCAGTGTAGATCTTAGGTATGTCTCATGTGAAAAAGAACTGAAGACAATGGTTAAATTGCCAATGGCAGCTGAGAGAAGTCAGATAAGGTGTCAGAAGAACAGTTTTCTGCTGAATTCACACAAAGACACTTGCAGGCACTGAATTGCATCCAGAGGACCTGTTCAGTGCTGGAAGCCAGGTATTGAGAGGCACGATGACAAACTGGGTGCAACCAGGAGTACGGGCAGGTCGGGGTCAGTCAGATCTGGATCTATGGTACACAGACCACAGCTGAGTGACTGCTCAAAATTGAGAGAACTAAGAGAAATAGGATACATTCCCTCACAACCATGAATCACCCTCAAAATTGAGAGAACTAAGAGAAATAGGATACATTCCCTCACAACCATGAATCACCAGCAGGTGAATGAGCTGGGCTATCTCAAGACAAGCCAAGGCCAGACTAGAATCTGCTGGTGACGCTGGAGAGAGGCTGTTGGCACTAAGCAGGAGGAGGAACTAAAGGCCTAAAATCCCTTCCGACTCTTGGACTGAGCGTGACGTCCAGTGGCAAAAGGCAGCTTACCTGGCAGAGGGAAACGTTCTCATAAGGTTTTGCTTGGGCATGTAGGTGAGCCTTGGCTTCCCGTTTATCACCATGCACAAGCAGGATCGGCTTCTTCCTGAAAAGAGACCAGAGGGTTTACAGGACATCGTGGTATCGTTCCTACAGCAGGGCTCTTGCCTCATTAAGGAACGAAGCTTCTTTTCCACCTGGCACCTGCTCATGGCCTCAGTGGTGACTGAGGACAGGGGCTAACACTGGGCAGTGGTCAGTCAAGGCTCGTTACCCTTGTCAGGGCGTCACATGGCCTGATCCTGAAGCCTGCTGTGACACAACAAAGTCCTTGAATAATTATCTTCTTTAGTGCAAACGAGTAGCTCTGTGTTAATATTTTAAAATTAAGTAGATTAAAAATGACAATTATTGTATGATGCTTTCCCCTCTTCTTTTTGGACAAAGCAACACATCCATTTCACTCTGTACCTATACTTACTGCAGATGGCTAGTCAGCCACAAATGGGGGAGCAGGGAAAGATAACCAAGGGCTGGAAACTGCAGGGAGCCTTGTCTGATACATAAGTACCTGGGAGACTTGGTAAGTTCAAACCTCCCCAGCCATAGCTGCATCCTCTTAAGAAAGACTCTGTATCAACATCAGGTCAAACCCTACCAGGAGGCTTGGATCCTCCCTCATCACCTAAGCCACCACCACTCCCATCACCCTGGCAACGAAAACATCAAGACCCTCAAAAAGACAGCCTGCTGAAGGCTTTTCAAAGAGTAATAAAACTGATTAAGGGGAAAGGAATTGAGGCAAGAATGGGAGACTCAATGTCCTTAGAATCTCCCACTCTGTGAGCACCACAGTATTCTTTCTTGGAGGTGGTCCATGTGGCTGCCAGTCACAGTCAAGAGAGACCTGGGCGGGACACTGGAAACTTCCCTGGAACCCCTAATGAAACTGGAGGGCAGGAGGGACCACTGTCCTTCTCCTGAGAAACCCCTTCTCTCTAGAGGGTGACCCCTTTCCCCTTTCCTAGCCCTGTTAATAAACTTATGCCTTTACTGAGTAATATGTCTGAAATTTTTCTGGCCTGATCCCAAGAACTGGGGTGATGAGGGAGGCCTCTGTGCTGCCTCTGCCCTGTAACACTTACTAAGCTCCTACTATGTGTTACATATACAATGCAAGACCCAGGATACAACAGTGAACAGGAACAAGCCCTCAGCACAATGCAGACTTGTGAACAGGCAGTGAAGTTTCAGTGTACCAGAGTTCAAAGTACATTGAGAATTTTCCAATTCCAAAGACTACATAAAAGCACTCTTCAGGAATAGATTAGAAATGCTTTTAAGGGATTCTTGATCTTCTCCAGTTAATTCAAAGCAAGCTTATCCTTAGAAATCAATAAATCTTTATGAGCTTTCCCAACACAACAAAAACTGGATTTTTTTTTTCCAACAAGCAATTGAGCAAGATAAACTGCCACTACTTCCACATTAATCAATTATGGGGCAGAAAGATTCTCTGCATACACAAAAGGACAATGCTCAACTGGAAAGAAACATACCAGGAAATGCGCTTTCAGTACAAGAGCCTGACGACCGCACACCCACACTAGCCTAGTTCCGCCAGCACAGGTAAAACAGCACTAGGAAACAGGTGTTCCTAATTGCTTACCAAGTAGGGAAACTGGAAAAGCAGTGCAACTAGAAAGAGAGAATAATATTCGAAATACTCACGCCATCTACAACCTGGAAACAAAACGTGGTATCATCTTAAAAACAGTAAACACTGCTGAGACAAGTTGAAGGCCTCATTAATTCCTTCAGGTTTCTTGGTTCTACAAACTACCATGAAAAGGCAGCATGTGAACAATGGTAGGTACTAACTCTTACCATCTGAAAATTCTACATACAAATTCTGGATGTTACCTGAACCTGCCATTTAGGTCATTCCTCATCCTTACCATACTCTGGACAGCTTCAGCATTAAGGGAGTGGAGGGAAGGGAGGATCTTTCATCCCTGCCTTAGTTTCTGAGAGTTCAGGGGCCACTCAATTCAACCCATAGAGGTGCTAAAGGGATTACAACCTACACTCCTAACAGACTTCCACAAACTGGGCACCTAACCACCTGAGACCTGCTGTTCCACAGTTCTTGAGCAGGAGTCTGCAGGGCTGGTTCCTCCTGAGGTCTGTGAGGGAGAATCTGCTCTATACTTTCCCCTGGCTTCTGGAACCTCTGGCATTCTTTTGCCTTCACAGTCGTCTCTATGTCTAAATTTCCCCTTTTCATAAGGACACCAGTCACTGATTTAGTGGTCACTCTTATGACATCATTTTAATTTGGTTAATGACCTCCAATGAAGACTATCTGCAAATACAGTCACCTTCTGAGGTACGAAGGCTTAGGATACCAAGAGATCTTTTTGGGGAACAATTCAACCCATTGAGTTGCTAAAGGGATTACAGCCTACACTCTGCCAACGCTTCGAGGGGTAACATTTGACGTCAGTTTTTGAGAAGCAAAGGGAGGGGAACTAAAATCACCTGTGCAGCACCCAGGGACACACTGCCTGGAAGAGCCTGGGGCAGCCTACTTTTCTCCTCCCTCCTTCCTAGCAAAACCCTGGTGTTATGCCAGGCAAGATAATGTTATGCCAGCCAAAAGCCACAGTGCAGCCTCGTTAGAGATGGTTATTGTCCTGTAGCTGGGCCCTGCTCAATGAACTAGAGACCCTTTCTTCCTTCTCCTCCTTCCTGCTACCTGAAACTCGAACAACTGAGCTGGAGCCCTGGTTGGCATCCTGGACCACAAGGTGACTCTGAAGACTGAAGCCATACACCAGCATAGTGGGTCAGACAGAAAAGTAGGTGGGTAAGTCCAGGAAAAACCACAAGGCTCCAATGCAGACCACAGATACCTATCATCTGGACTTCTTCAGTTGACTTAAACTGTTACTTTGGGTGTTCTATTACACACAGCTAAGACTAATCCTCTAGATTACAGATCAAATCCAAGCCCTTGAGTATCAAAGCTGCCTGTGAAACATCAGCATTTCACCCTCTATACCAAAAAAGGTATCCATGATCCAATGTCTTAAATGCACCCATGAGTTTGAGGGCCCTGACAATCATTTTTTGTGTATGTATTCCTCCACCCTACTTGCCCTTATAAGATTCTGCCACATAAACGTATTAGACACAGGAATGCATGGCATGCCACTGTGCTAAGCTATATTTATTTGGTCTCAACTGCTGATGCACTGCTGATGGTGGATCTGGAAATCCGTCACTTCCACAGCTTGGATAAAAGAGGGCTATGACCTCCTAAGAACTACAGAAAGATGCTCAAAAAATGTTGGTATGGACGTGCTAAGCAATATGTAGTTGGCCACGTGTCGACATATGTACTGGTTAAGACGGAGATGACCATTTCCTTCATATTAACACTGGACATGAAGTTCTGTTATCTGAGGTAGAATTTGTCCTTTTCCATTCTGGATAGAACACAGAGAAAAGCACTAAGATTGGCAAAAAGAATGTGTACGATTAAAAAGATTTTAAAATGCTGTTCTCCCCAAATAATTTCATGTCTATATGATTTCAATGACTCAAAAGAAATACTTTAAAAAAAGGCAGCTTTTTACCTGACAATGCAACTCTCGTGTTTCACAGCATTGTAGTTTACTGTGTGCCATGACCCTTTAACTCACCTGAACTCTGGCGGATACTGCTTTACGAGCCAGACTACATCAAAACAGTAGTTGAACTAGACAAGGGAAAAAGAAAAGCAACTAAGCCATAGGTGATTCAACCAAGCAGTTCATAAGAACTGTTTGGTTATAAAATTGAAAGAAACTCTAAAATAATAATGTACTACATATATTTTTTATAAATCTACACAGTTACAGTACAATACTCATGATTAAACTTAATTTCTGTCTTAAAGGAATATGTGGCTGAAGAACCCCACATAAATGGATCCAAACACACAAGAAAATAGGTTCTATGGAAATTACCTCTGCACGTCTTGGCAGTGTTTATACTTCTCAAGAGGGTGCTCTTATGTTGGTTCTAGTAGTCCTGAGGTTTATTTAAATAAGGGGGCTTATAAATGTATTCTTTTCCTCCCTAGATGATTACAAAAAGACAGATGCTCAAGACAAGGAGCCCAGAACTGTTGGAAAAAGACATGTCCCTTCAGTCTGACTTACTGGATAGCCTGGTACACAAGCACCTGGGACTGCCCATGCACTAGGCTTATAAGTCCCATCTTGATGACATGATCTTCTTCTGCCTGGGCAGTCTAGCTGAATGCCTGCAAGTACACCCCACATTCCACAGAGACCAGGACTCTCAGGGCCAAACCAAACACAAAGGCCACAGAGCACTCGTCCTGTTATGATTTCACACACAAAGGGACCAGCTCAGGCAGGCAGGAGCCATGGAACATATAGCGAACTCCTAACTTCTACTCACTTCTTTTTGGTAGATGCAGGGAATTTTGCTTTTTTCCAAATCAAATCAAACTTGCACTGGCTCTGCCACACCTTCCCAGAAGGCTGCATGAGTCCCATGTGATCATCAGTGTCCAAAAGAGAAGTCTTTAAGGCTGGACAGTCCAAAGTGAATTTGTGGCCTGATCAAGAGTCAAATGATTTACTGAGAGTGACAATCACATGATGTATTCTATGTCTATGGCCATGCATTCTAAAACTTGCTGCGGGAGGCCAGCTTCAAGGAACTTACTATCTTAGGGATCTGGATGGGACTGACATGTGTCCCCACCTCTCATATTTTCTTATAAAGTTATTTGTCTTTTTTTACCCACAAACTCACCTGAGCTGAAGAAACAAGTGTCCCAAATAGAGGAGACAAAATATCTATAAAGACAAAAACATATATATGATTTGTATTCAGATTAAAATCCTCTAGTTATAATAATTATTTAACAGTCACTGACCAAGATTTGGTTCAGAAAACAGTTAAGTGAAAAGTTATTATAAAGCTAGTTTTTTTTTTTAAAGCTAGGTTTTAATGTTTTTTCCAAGAAAAATTTCCCTATGCTATTTAATATATATATATAAACATTTTATATATATACAAAACTAAAATCTACAACTTAAGTACCAGATGAATGGCCATTTTTTGAAGTCATTCATACCTGTCCTTTCCAGGATTTCTGAGTCCACCTCCTTCCAGTAGTCATCTGAGTTCCCACTGCCTCCCTCCGAAGCCTGAGAGCTCTTGGTTCCCAGCATTCTAAACTGACATCTGTGGTGCTCTGGTCACTCTATGAGACTCCACATGGCACTCACTCAAGCTTTACCATATCTCATGAACTACACCAGGATCGTCACTGTCTTCGATCCTAACAGCTGCACCTGCACAGGGCTTCCTAGACTCCAGGCACCATTTTTGGTATTTTCGGTGTATTAACTCCTTCCTCCCAGTCATTTTGAGGGAGAGTCTGATATTCCTATTCTGTGGAAGAGCAGTCTCCATAGGAGGCTGCCCAGGGCCACACAGTTAGGAAAAGGCAGAGTCCAGGTTTGACCCGGGACATCTGGCTCCAGTTTGCCCTCACCCCTAGGTGGCCTCTGAGGACTAAGAGTGGGCTCATTCACTTATCTGACATTCACTTAGTGACTTCTGTCGTCTAGACATTGAGCTACCTGCTGGGATACAAAGACTTTGAAAGAACATGAAAATATTCTTAACCCATTATGTTCCATCGTCCTACACAGAATTGAAAACTTGAGACTTAATGGATTAAGGAAGTTCCTAGCTTATTGGGAGAGCTGCACAATTAAAAGAACCTATGATACATCCTTGCCCCCCTCCACCCAACACCTCCACCTTCTAAACTGTTGGTGCTGAGGAGCGAACCTGGAGCCATATGCAGGATGGGTGAGCACGCTATCCATGAGCTGTATGCCTAGCCCCTTTTTCCCAAACCCTATGTATCTTTCAAGGGCCGGGCCACTGATGCCCCCTCTTCCATGAGACCTTCTAGACAACCTCCAGTGATGGCATGTTTCGGCATGGTGTATCAATTAGAAGGGACTTGGGTCCTGAATGCCTGGATTTAAATCATAGCTTTACCATTACCAGCTCTGTGATCTCAGACAGTTCTTAGTTTTTCTAAACTGCAGATCCATCACCTGTTCAGTTACAGTTCATCGTTGCTGCTGGACCATCTACTCTGGACCACCTACTCAAAAAATTACTGTGGGGTTACAATAAAGGCAGAGTTCCTCTCATGATGTCACCCACCCACACAAGATCTTGGTGCTCACAGTCAGTCTTTTTCATTTTTATTATGGAACCCAAGCTTTGCAGAGTTCCCCATTTCCTGTGTTGCTCTCTCTCAAACAAGATATCAACACTGACAACTATCTTATCTCTTCAAAGTACCCAGATAAAAGATTCTGAAAATGAAAACCTGTAGAATCCAATTTGCTACAGTATGGAATTAAATCCATCAACATTTATACATCACCCAGAAGAAATTGAATATGCAATTAAATATTTGACAAATAAAAAAATTATTGACAGTGAACGTAATCTATTCTTGAATATGAACCAGAAAAAAGTTAACCTGAATGAAGGGGAATTATACTTATTGCATACATCTGCTGTATAAATATACTGTGCTGGTCACATCACGCATTTGCTTCAATTTCCCTGAATCCCCAGCCTACAGCCAAAAACTTGTCAAAATTTTTTTTCCCCTAGAGTAGTTAGGACCACAAAGGAGGGTTCCTAGAGATCATTCCAGGCTGCCTCCTTGGTTCACTGAGAACACTGTCAAGGCCAACTCCACAGCTCCTGATGTCCGCATTCTTACCCTTGATGTGGAGGGCTTTGCAGTTGTACTTGGGCTTAATTCCTGAGACTCTAGTGAGATAGAACTGGAAGGGGTTCCCTTTGTCTAGCATGTCCCAAATGTCTTGGCCTTCCCCTGAGGTCTCATACTCGTCTTCCTCTCTTTTGTGCCTGTGGCTGGCAGGAAGGCCATGGCTTCCAGTTCTCTGGGCAGCACCATCTTTGGGAGAGGAGAGGTCTTTTTCCTCTTTGACCTCCACATTCTCCGCCTGATTCTTCTGAGTTTCTGGTTGCAGTTCATCATCACTGCTGGAGAGACACCAGCCTAGCTCTTCTTGGGAACCACTTTTCTGCTTTTTGGGAGGTGGAGCCAAATCTGCACTGCTGAATTGCACAGGTGATATCTGCCTCCTGTGAGCAGCTTTTCGAGCTTCGGAACAGTTGAACCGTGGCTCACTGGCTGTTCCCTGCCCAGCATGGGAGAGAGAGGATGTTGATGGCTTGTCCAGTTTGGGCTTCTCATCCTCACTTTCATCACTACTGGATATGGTCCACCTCCCGTAACTGCCTTCCTGAGACATGCTTCTGGAACAGAAAGGCAAAAATATCATTTCCCATTCACCATGCCATTGGCAAAATGACTTCGCTGCTCTCAAATTCCCTATCAGATAAGCTTCTGCAACAAGCAGCACTTATGACACCTCTCAGAGGTTAAGCCACGTAACTGTTACCAAAATCTGCTACAGGAAGTTGACAATAGCAAAAATCCTAGTCACTATCTCCTCCTCCACCCTTGTCTTAGAATCCAGACCTTGTTTAGATCCCCCAGGAAAGGGGGTTGGAGCCAAATTCCAAAATAAAACAAAATGTTCATTCTTAACCCTGAAACTTCTATTCACTGGGTGCTTGGGGTTAAGGCCAATTTAAGGAATTTTAAGAATAATTCTGACTGCTCAACGTTTTAAGGTCAAATTGGAATTCACTCAAGAACAGGTACCCAGGGGACCTCTGTCATCATTTAAGTCTTACTTTCCCAAAGATAAGCCACTTAGCATAAGCATAGCAAAGTCTTCAAGAGGAATGCCAATGACCGCTTTTGTTGGTGTATTATCTATACTTACTACCATGAGGACCCAACTAATGAGATAATTATCTCACAGCCATGCCATAAATCCAACTAATAAAACCTATAGAAGAATTTGTACTGAAGCAAAACATTATTTTCTAAATTACACTATTAGTCTAATTTCACTTTCTTATTCCCAGAAAACGAAAATATGTGAAACATGTATTTTTGGTATTACCTATAAAGCGTGGTCAATTCAATGGTAAAGGGCTAAGTAGATTTCCTGAATGACTAAAGACAGCTCCGTGGTGTGACACTTTTAACAAAGTACAAAACCCAGAGGAAAAAAATCATAAAATTCAAGTTGGTGCTCAGATTTTTAGGTACCTTCAAGTTTTTGCTGTTTGAAACAGGATGAGTAGGCTGTATTATGTAAACCAGGCCAGACGGTGGTTACTCTGTTGATGTAACGTAGACAATTCCTTAACAAAAACGAAACCCCAAAAGCCTTGGTTCTACATCAAAAGATTTTCAAATGAATACACATTCATACTTCAAAGTTAAAAAAAAAAAAACATTTTTAAAGTGCCTATCATTTTTCCAATTTCTCACCCAACTTTTTCAATTAATTACCAGTCAAGTCAGACAAGGTTTCTTCTGTAAATGATACATTTTAAGGAAATTTTATGAAGAGTGTATGGAGACACTCCTTCCAGACACAGGGTGACTACTACCCCCACCTGCATGGACACCATTTTACAGTCAAAGCATTTGGAACCGTAGAGGTGGATGGGGCCACTGGCTCCTGTAATAAGTGACACCCTAGACTCTGTCTAGGTCTCTTGAGCCCTCATATCTGCTTTCTAAAAGTTTTCTGTTAATTTCTACTATTTTATTATCTTTTAGGGGGTTGTGAAGACTCAGTGTAGATATTTTCATGAACTATTTCTAATCTGCAAGGTTAAGCAAATGAGACAACTAAAATTGTTAGGAGTGTATTGTTACAGTTAACTCGGTCTGAATGCCAGGTTCTCCAAGAAAGACATCCAGAATGATCTGCTGTTTAACTTCTACTTAAAGCGGCTTAGACATATTAGTTAACTTGTTTTTATTTACTTATTGTTTTTTAAATGTAGGATCCCCTAGAGTTCTAGATTCTAAAGAATTGCTAGCTAGGAGTATCTAAGGTGTCACAACTCACTTTCAAAGAACTACTTTAGTGGCTACAGTTGTGTGACTATTAAAAACAAAAGAGCCATCTCAGGAAAAATTACTCAGAATGTAAGATCTACTTTCTTTTGAATTCTTAAACTACGCGGTTCATGTGCATCGGGCAGATTGGATAAGGGCTGAGCCTCGTTTTCCTCAGCTGTGAAATAAGCATCGTGCTTACCTACCCCAATTCATTGACTTAATACACGCTTACTGAACAGCTACTGTGTACTGAGCACTGTGAATAAGAAATTAACAATATACAGTTTCTGTCCTGGGGGAGTTTGCTTCTAGAGTGGAAGAGAGATTAACAACATAAAAATTTAACTTCACATTTTACAGGGATGACCTTACTTAGGAACAATCTCTGAAGAAATGAATGGGACCCGGAGGATAAAACGGACCCAGACAGCTAAAACATGAAGTGAAGAGCATTCCGGGGAGAGGGAACCCAACCGCAAAGGCTGGAAGGTGAGAACAGGGTCATAAGAAGTGCAGGATCAGAAGAAGGATTTATGCAAGAAAGGTAATGGTCCGGGATGAAAGGAGTGGGGGAAGAAGGCATGTTAAAGACACTACATCTTATTCTAATAACTGAACTTTAATAAGGGGAGTAACTTGGCTCGATTTACCTTTTTAAAAATATTACGTTGGCTACAATTCCGTATGGTGAATGGTTTGACGGGAAGGTCCAGCAGGGACTGGGACCTGTTTGAAGGAGGTAGGCGTGGACTGTGACCGTCGCCCTTTGGGGGAAACGAGCCAAGAAAGCTCAGGTACACGCCCGCAAGTGGGGCGTGTTAAACCTGCGCTCGCTACAACTGTCGGGGACCGCACCCCGCAAGGGCCGAAGCGACAGGGGGCCTCGAACCCACCCTGCGGGCAGGAGTCGGTCTCTGCAGCGCTCGCTGAGCGCCCGCTAAGAGGCGCTATTACTGCAGGAAGCCGAGGCCGCGGGCACAGGACCCCGAACGGAGTCCTCCGGCGGCGCCGCTTCCCTCGCGGTCAGCCTCCAGCCGGGCCACCACGCGCCCGGTTCTCCGGACTCCAGCTCCCCGGCACAGCGAGCCGGGCAGTCGAGGGACGCAGAACTAGAGACCGCGCGCAGCCCACGGCCGCGGGACACGTACCTGACCACACCGCCTCCGCCGCCGCCTCGGCCCCGCCCCGCGCGACGTCTGCGCCTGCGCGCAGTTCAAACGCACTTCGCCGCGGCGCGCGCCTCACCGCCCAGCCGCTTCCCCTTCCGGGAATCTTGCCCTTGGGTCCTAAAGACCCCCATATCCGAAGGGACTGACAGGTTTATTCCTCAAAGGGGGCAGATGGGAGACCTGACCTCCTCTCCCTCCCAGCTCACCTACTGGTGTCTTAAAAGAGAGAGAAACAGAAAGGTGGTCAACCCCTTTATAGGGGTTCACATAGCTTCAGGTTCCCAGGGGTCAGCGGTGTGTTTTGAAAGGCGGAGAGAGAGAACAAAAAGATGAGCTGAGATTAAAAGCAGCTGCCAAATGGAAAACCCGTGTCCCGGGAAGAGCGGGCTCGGCTGGGGCTCAGTCTTTAAAAGCCTGCTGTAAAATAGAAAGTTAAACAAGTCCACATCAGACTCAGAACCTCGAATGCCTGCTTCTTTCAAACAGGCATGCGAACGTTCTTTTAAATTTATTGATTTGACAAAATAGAGGGATCAGAGATGAACCCATCTGGGAAACGGAACTCTCCCGACGTTCGTCTTTTATAAGGATGTTTGCTATGTAATTTGGACTTGAGGCTGTTTATGCTATTTACTCCTTGGGTCTCCCTCAAACCAGGCATCACTTTCAGAGGGTTGAATGGAATAAGTCTGTGTAAATGTGCTAACGGCTTCTTTCGTTTATTGAAGATCTCCTTTGTTCCAGACACAGTGCTAGGTGCCGGAGTTATTTAAAAAAAAAAAAAAAAAAAAAGGACAAAACCAACTTACTAACTACCCTGCGTGCTCAACCCAATGACTTGCTGACTTAAACGTGAATCCTGGATTTGGCTCGACTTCTAGGCTTTGTTCATCCTCTTTGTGTCTTCTATGAAATCTAGCAAAGCCAGGGACCAACATAATCAAAAGGAATTTATCGCAAGGTTGGCAAAGAATGAAAGAAATCATGAACTTGAGCATGTAGTTTGTAAAGCATCTAGGTGCGCTGGGTCTCGCGTCGCTTGCAGAGAGTTAAGGGAACTAAGCAGGGGCGGAGCTAAGCGCTGGGGGGCGGGCCTGGGAGCCTCCCCGCCCCTGGCTGGTCCAAGGAAACGTTGTTCAACACAGCCTGTGGCCTATAGCATTGCGATATCAACGCCAGTGGCTCGGAGACCGTCCAATGGGAGGAGACGTTGGAGCTGCACGGCTAGTTCCAGAGCCGCGGTGGGCGTGGCCGAGGGAGGCTGAGAGCGGGGTTCTGGCGGGAGAGGTTCTGGACTAGGTGGTCCGGAACTGGTTGTAGCTGTGGCTATGTTTTTCTCCGAGGCTGGGGCCCGGCGGCGGACGTGGGAAGCCAGCCCCGCGGAACACAAGAAGTTTGTGGAAGTAGGTGTCCGGAACGTGACTCTTAAGTTTTGGACTTCGTCTTGGCTCCGGGCATTTCAGTCTCTGTGCTGGCGTCTGGCTCAGCCGGGTTGTTCAGACGAGACCTGGACGACCCTTAGAACAGTCGTGATTAATGAAAAGCCCAGAGCTGCCTGCTCCTGGTTCTGCCTGCTTCCAAGTTCTTTCTCCACCCCGGTACCCAGCTACGTAGTTTCGAATTTGCATTTCTCCCAGTTCAAAGCCAGCCCCCAGCCCCGTTGCCTCGCTTTCCTAATTTCTAGGACGGAATTGTGGGTAGAATTTATCCTGAAGGTGAAAACTAATTTGCGTCAGCCCAGCGGTTAAGACCTTGGCACTTCTGGCAGATTTCTTGAGATTTAAAGTTGGGATAATACCACTCTATTTCTAAGCTCTACTGGGCTAAGTTTTAGATTTTAGAGGTTCAAATTTGATAATAATGAAAATAAGGGAACAGTTTGTTTTACTAACTGAAACCATTTAATATTCTTTAGGTATTTAAAGCATGCGATGAAGATAACAAAGGCTACCTAAGCAGAGAGGACTTTAAGGTTGCTTTTGTAATGCTGTTTGGGTACAAGCCCTCCAAGGTAGAGTTTCTTTGTGTATTTGGGGGATGCGGGAGATGCAATATGAATGGATCCTAAGAAAATTGCCAAGGGGTTTTCTTGGGATCTTACAAAGTGCATGGGTGACTTATAAGCTGTTTCAGAGGTGTCACCAGTGCTGAATTTTCCTCTTTCCTCTTAAGGACCCAATTCAAGAATGAATTAGAGATGTCTCATTGGAGCCCACGAAACATATCTCTCCACCAAGCTGCTAATAGTTACATTAAATATGAGATGCTAGCGAGATGTCAACAGGGAAGACTGGGAGAAGGATGTTGGTAACAGAAGGAATTCACCTAGGAGGTTATCTGTTGTGTCTATTCACATTAAATTAAAACTTTTTTTGCTTTGTTTAAATTATAAAAGTTATACATTCACATAGTAAAAAGAAAATCTCTTTCAACTAGAGGGTCTCAGCTTCTCAGGGTTTACCATTACTAACCAGGTTCTTACGTATTGTTTCAATTTTTTTTTCAAAAATTTCAAAATGACGAACTATATGCATAGTCTTCCATTGAAAACATGGTACATACTATGCCTATTTTATTTTAATGTTTTTCTCACTTAACAATACATCAACCTGAAAGCACACACCACTGCCTCATTTTAAAAATTAGTTGTATAGCCGGGTGCAGTTGCACACACCTGTCATCCCAGCGGCTAGGGAGGCTGAGGCAGAAGGATTTCAAGTTCAAAGCCATCCTCAGCAAAAGCGAGGTGCTAAACAACTCAGTGAGACCCTGTCTCTAAATAAAATACAAAATAGAGCTGGAGATGTGGCTCAGTGGTTGAGTTCCCTGAGTTCAATCTCTGATACCAAAATAATAATGATAATAATAATAATAATAATAATAATAATGTAATGATCTCTCTTTGGTCATTTTTTAATTTGTTTTCATTATTTTTCATTCCTACAAACATTGCTGCATTGAGCATCCATTTATATCTACATAAACACACAAACACATAGATTTATGTCCTTGTGAATGTGTAATTCCTAGCAGTAGAGCTGCTAGGTTCTGCAATATGTACATTTGCAATTTTGTTTGATATTGCTCTTCAAAAAAGATTGCACCAATTCACCAATGAGAATTGAGCTGAGTCTCAATGAACCTTCTACTTCAGAACAGGTTTCCTGTTCACACAGTCTTTGTGCTGTTCTGCTTGCCTGTTACCTGCATTCTAGAGATGAATGCTTTCTTGTTAAGCATCGGGGTCAAGATGCTGTCCAGATTCAAGAAATAAAACTGCAAAAGGACCTCTTAGAGCTCTGCCTGGAATGCCCTTTCTTATTCTCTTGTTAGACCAAACAGCTCAGCAGTCAGTTCTGCGTGCATGGTCTCTACTCTGTCAGATTGCAAGCCTAGTGCAGCCAGGGACCTGTGAAGTCCCACTTCTGCACCCTTCAGAGTGTTGAAATGCTTCACAACACAGTAAATGTGTCCTATTGACCCAGACAGGTTGCATGAGCAACCCAGAGTGCTTATTCAGAGATGCTTAGTTCCTGTAAGGCCAGTTACTGAGCTCATCAGGGCTGGCTCTCTGAAATTGCAGCTCTCCTGTTAACCTGCAGTCATTTCAGCTGGAATTCAAAGCAGATCACCTGAAAAGACTCAGCCTTTAAGGCATTATATTCAACTGGAAAGCTATCTTGTCTCATTTACCTTTATCACCCTCAAGAATATTTACTTCTTTCATTTCAACTTTAGAATTCATAAGGAATGTGATGACAGGTATAGTGATTTGGTAATAGACTGTATATATACTCCATGAAATTGAACAGATTTTTTACTTCTGAATTGAGGTTTTGGATTTTATTTTTTAGGCAAGTGAAATATTTAGCTGACTAGAGGAAACCAAACAGTAAAGTACTAACATAGCAAATCACCTATATATTTACCAGACATTTGTACAATGAACTTTTATTAAATAGGTGGCATTACATGAAATTTAATAATTTTAAATTTTATACTAGATTGAGAATTGGGATTTAATTTTTGGATATTACTTTGAACATATGAAATATTTACTGACTTTGGTTCAGGAAATTAAATGAGATAACATGTAAAATTCATATAATAGAAAGTATATTTTTGTGTGTGGTGCTGAGGATTGGACACAAGTGAACCCTACCACTGAGTTACACCCCTAGCCTTCTGTTTACTTTGAAACAAGGTCTCACTAAATTGCCCAGGTTGGCCTGGAAATGGATGTCCTTTACCTCAGCTTCCCCAATAGCTGAGCTTATAGGCATGTGCTACCCCTCCCAGTAAAATGGTATATTTTGAAAAAAGTTATTTAAAAAAACCATAACATACAATAATATTTAAAAAAAACACTTATATAATAAATAATGAATATACTCTGCCATTGTTCACAGAATGAAATTAAGTGTACCTGTTTAACAAAAGGAACATTTGCTAGTGGCTAGGAAGGTAAAGATGAGTTAAACACAGTCCCTACCTTGAAGTGGTTTACAGTGGAGTGTAGACAGGCAGATAAAACTCTGATAGGTTTCAAGATAGAGAAGAGATTTAAGAACAGGAAGAGAAGGTGACAAAGAAGGTGGGCCTAACTAGAGGTAGTTATAGTAGGAGCCAGGGTGTCGTTTTGACGAGAGGAGCTAGGCTACTGTGATGAGAAGGGTGTAGGAGTACTTTGGGAATGTTGGGATGAATTGTGCCCTGGTGTTTGACTGGACATGGTGGTGCTAAAACAGTGGTGCGATCATCAAGACCAGAGGGACTGTGATGCCACCAAGTAAGAAAATTCAGATGGAGCAGGTCCGCGGGGAGCTGGTGCATTATAGGGCATGCCGAGTTTCAGGTGCATTCACTCAGCAGATGCTGTGCTGACTGTGGAAGTATGATGGTGAAAATATCTCAGATTTTGCTACCTCTCTTAGATGTAGGAACTGAAATTGGGTGGAGAAGTGAAGGCTAGAGATAGATTTTGGACTCCTTTGTGTATAACAAGTAGCTCAAAACACAGGGTGAATGGAATTACCAAGGATGATTTTGCAGAAATCTTGTTTGAGGAGCAGTGGTCTGAGGAGAGAACACTGGGGATGTCAACAGTTAAGGGTAGGCAGGAGATTCCATGAAGAATATGGAGTGGGAGCCATTTGGGAGGGCCAAGTGAAGCCAGGAAAATGCAGGGACTCTAAGACTGGAGAATTCCAGACTGAAGGAGAGGAAAGTCTGTCAGATGCTCTCAGGGTTCTAGTCCCCAAAAGTTTATAAAGCCCTTGTAACAATGTGGGGAAATGCTTCATTTTAATATCTGGTGAAATCAGGTTCTCAAACTTTATATAGTGTGTTCTCAAATGTTTTAAATCACAGAGGGATTAAGAAAAAAAAATCTAGGCTAGTCCAAAATGCTAAAAGTAGTTTTCATTGAAGAATTAAAAATTTTTTTTCTTCTTCATAATTAAAAAATTATTATTTTCTATATCAACCAGGGATTACTATTATAATCAGGAAAAATAAAAATAAGGCCATGGAGCCCATTGTAACAATTTCTTGCTTTTGTCTTAAGCAGAAAGGTTGCCTTACAGCTTACGATCTATATGGTACAGCCAAATTGACTTTATGTGCTTTACACATATTGGTCAATGTTATAAAGTTTTGAGGTCCGTTAAAATCTGTAGCTTATTGATGTTGACAGCAAAGTAAAATAACGATTATAGCTGCTGAGCGACTTGTTTGCTGGGTTCAATAAACATGATTTCTTATAAAATAAATCCCTTACCCCAAGATTAAGAACTTGCACTGTTAAAACACTTGATAACTTACATGTTATTATTCTCTCCTTTCTTCTAGATAGAAGCAGATTCTGTGATGTCTTCAAAAAATTCCAGTACTTCTGGTAATATAAATGTTAATTTTAGTTTTAGTACCTTTATTTAGTGACTCACAAAACTAAAATTAAAGACAAGAAAAAAAATAGGTACTATGTGTTGTGTTAAGCACATCTTTATTTTATTTCTATCACTCAAAAGAAAGTTTTGGGTTTTTAGATTTGATTAATTAGTTTAAAACTAAGATGTGTTTACAGTAGGAAAAATTAAGCCATTGAAAAGCATAAAGACAAAAATGTCACTCATCATATTTTTTGAGCAACTGGGTGAATGGAGTTGACTCTGAATGGGAAGACTGGGGGAGAATGTTTGGAGTGGGGGAGACTAGAAGTCCAATTTTGTGTTAAGTTTGAGAAATTTCAATCCATTATATCAAAATAAATTGGGTCTGTATGAATATGGAACTCAGAGGAAAACTGTGGACTAAATAAATTTGGTAGTCATCAGCATGTAGATGGTTTTTAAATTATGGAATGGATGAGACCACCCTAGAGAGAGAGAGAGAGAGAGGGAGGGAGGACTGAGAACCTTAGGAACTGTAACTAATAGTACTCAGAGGATGAGGAAGAGACTAGGTGACTTAGGAATGGCAGTAGGTGGAAAGAAAATCAGCAGTATTTGATCAAAACCCAGGGAAGTGGCTGTTCTAGTGGAGAGACTATGGTCACCATTACCAAATGCTCCTGAAAGGTCAAGTAGCTTAAGAACTGAAGGGTATCTGTTGGAGGTGGTCACCTGGAAGTGTTGGTTATGTCAGCAAGAGGAATTTCAACATATGGTGATGGCTGGAGGCCAGGCTAGAGTGGGTTGAGGATAAATGGAGAATGATAAAAAGTGACAACAAATAGATAAGTTTTTCAGTAAGTCTGGAATGGCTGTAGATATTTTGTTTTTTTAAAAAAATATTTTTAATTGTAGATGGACATAATACCTTTATTTTATTAATTTATTTTTACGTGATGCTGAGGATCAAACCCAGTGCCTCACATGCTAGGCAAGCGTTCTACCACTGAGCCACAACCCCAGCCCTTATTTGCTTTTTTGTTTGTTTGGTTTTTTAAAATGTAAGAACAGATTTTAAAGCTTAACAGAATGATTTAGTGAAGAAGAACAAGAGAGATAAGAGAGAGAGAAATCCTTTATGTGAAGGGGATAGGATCCAGAATGTTCTGGAATGGCTTTTCAGTAATGACCTGCATGTGGAAATAAAGCTTACACAGAGTTGCAAAATAAAAGCAATAGAGTATAGCTATGCACTCTACCCAGATTCACTTACTGTTAGTGTTTTCCCCACCTTCATCCTCATCCACAGCCCATAGTGTGCATAATCCTGCATACTTATCTACTTCATAAGTTTATATCAATGCTTCATTTTAATCTAATTTACCATCTATATCCCATTGTTGTCAGTTTTTCTAGTTATATTATTCCCCCTTTACTCCAGGAATTAGTTTTTGGTTTTATATCTTTTTAGCCTTCTTTAATTTTAAATGTCTCTGCAGTCATTTTGTTTTCCCTTTTTGCTTTTCTTATAACATAGATATTTTTTTAGAACACAGTATGCCCCTTACCTTTTTGTTTTTATTTTTAAAGAACATTCCTCATTTTTTTCAGTTGATATACTTTGTGATTAGACTGGGATCTTGCCTTCCTGGCCAGAATACTGTTTAGATGAATTGCTTTTCTTCTGGGTACTCATCTGAAGGCATATAGTATCCATTTGTGTCTCAAAGATGACATTCATTTCATCACCAGTTAAGATGTTGTTTAATTTCTCCATTGTGTCATTTATTTTTTATTGTCTTCCATTGCAACTAATTGGTAGTCTGTGAAGAGACACTTTTAAGTCAATGCAAATATTCTTCTTCTTGTCAGAATCTCTCCCTAGATTTGATATCCATTTATTATTACTGTCCAATCTAGTTTTGCCATAACAGTTGGAAAATAATGATTTTTCTACTCCCAAAGCCTCCTTCTATCAGCCCTTGACATTCTACTATCAAGAAACTTCTTTCTTTATCTGTCTCTCTGTTATCAATGTGGACTAATGGATTTCTATGTTTTTAATAATTTATAACTCATTACTGTATTAATTATTTTAGTGCTCAGTTCTCACAGATTTGACCAGTGAGTGCCCCTTAAGCTAACTCCTGTGTGTGTTTGACTGGTTTGGCATTTTCTTTCTTTTTAAAAGTCTTTATAATAAATGTTAGATTTATAGAAGAGTTATAGAGGTTGTACAGAGAGAGTGCCTGTCTACCTTTAATTCAGTCAGAAGAAGGATTGAGAGATGGAAAACATTAAAAAAGGTCCTAATCAAACTTTAAGAGATGAAAACTAGTGAACTTGAAAACAATAGAAACTAACATGAAACACAAAGAGGAAAGAAAAGACTTAAAAAATAAATAGCAGTGAGCAGAATGACTTCAGGGAGCCAAATTGCACAAATGTAAGTGCAATTGGAACTCCCAGTGGAAAGGAGAGAGAGAGGTAGGGGCAGAAAAACATAGTTAAGTAAAAGGAAGGTGTTTCTAAAGTAAGTAAAGCTATAAACTTCAGATTCAGTGAAACCCAAGCACAAGAAACTTGGGGGGAAAAAAACTATTCCCAGTCACATAATAATGAAATAACTTACAACCAATGATAATGTTTAAAAAAAAAAAACCCTATGAGTGAGGGAGACACTTTATATAAAGAGGAACAAAGATAAAGTTAACAGCAGACTTTTTATAGGAAATTATTCAAGTCAGGAGACAATAGAGATTAAAAAAATAAAAGAACCTAGAATTCTATGCCAAACAAAATATCTTTCAAAAATGAAAGTAAAAATCAAGACTTTTAAGGCTTGGTGCAATTCAGTGTCCCAGCACTGCTTTAAAAAATAATTAAGACTTTAAGTTTTACATGCTGAATTTGTCAAGAGGTGATTTACTTTAAAAGAGGTATTAAAGGAAATCATGTAGGCAGAAGAAAGCAGTACCAGATGGAATTCTGGATCTACCCCAAGGAATGAAGAGCACCAGATATAGTAACTACTTGGTTAAATACAAAGTACTTTTTACTATTTAAATATCTTCAGAAGATAATTGGCCAATTAAAGCACAAATAATCATGAATTATGGAGTTTATAATGTTTAAATTAATGATGATAATATCACAAATACCAGTGGACAAATAAATAATGTTGAAAAGTGGGTACAACACAATAATACTGGGTAACTTTAACATGCCTCTGTCACCACTGGATAAATCCTCCAAACAAAAACTAAATAAAGAAGCTATGGAAGTAAAAAATACAATTGATGGGGCTGGGGTTGTGGCTTAGCAATAGAGCATTCGCCTAGCAAGAGTGAGGCGCTGGGTTTGATCCTCAGCACCACATATAAATAAATAAATAAATAAATAAATAAATAAAGGTGTTATGTCCAATTACAACTAAAAAATTTTTTTTAAAAATACAATTGATAATTTAGACTTAACACATATAGAATATTTCATCCATCAATGACTAAATACACTTGCTTCTCAGCAGCATACAGATCCTTCTCTAATATAGATATGTAAGCTATCACATGTTCGAATACAATTGTAATATTACCTTAATGTAATTTTAGCATTGCTATGGTTATTTTGATAGCTCCCTTTCCATTGATATTAATTTTTGTGTTCTTTTTTCTTGATTAGACTTGTTTATTTTTATCAAATTTTAATTGAATTATTTTTTTATTTCATATATTTCTACTCCTACTCTTATTTTTTCCTGCCCACACAATTTGAAAATAATTTGTTATTCTAGCTTTTTTCTGATACAAGTACTTTAAGTTATAAATGTGCATCTGAGTACTGTTTCATCCCAGAGATCCTGATATTTTAAGTTTTTGTTATCACTTAGTTCAAAGCACTTTTTATTTATTTTCTTCCTTGACCTCTAAAATATTTATAAATGTGCCATTTAATTTTGAAATAGTTTATGTGGGGGTGGGGTTCTATATATCTTAAGGTGATTGATTTCTAATGTAATAAATCATGCAGGAAACAGTTTGTATGATTTCAAATTAAAAGAAAATGGAAATCCTTTTTACATTGATTGTATTGGTTACATACAAGTCAAAACTGATCAAACTGCATACTTCAAATATGTGAATTTCATTTTACTTCAATTTTACCTCAATAAAGCTATGGGAGGAAAAAGAGAAAATGGAATACAGATGTTTATTGTCTACCTGAGTGGTGTTGATATCACTTGAGAATAGTTACATTTTGAAGATGTGGCTCCTAATAAAGTAGCCACTAAGAGAATACAGCAGAGTTTTAAGACAGAAAAGGGAATAAAATATTTTATTCAAGAGAAGGGCTCTTTCCCATCTTGTAAGATGGTATGTGAAAAGGTTGAGAAACCAGACACTAAGGAGAAGAAATATGGAGCCCAGAAGGCTGATGCTGTTGGCAAGGTTAAAAAGGGAGAACCTACAGACGAGAAACCCAAGAAAGGGAAGCTCCTCTGCAGCCGAAACCCAGTCCTGGGAGGAATTGGCAGATACTCCAGGTCTGCTGTGTATTCCTGAAAGCCCACGTACGAGAGGAAGTACTCAGCTGCTAAGTCCAAGGCTGAAAAGGAGAAGGTTCTTGCTACCAGTCAGTGGTGACGAGAACCGTGGTTCCAGGGTGGTTAAGCTTCCCAAAATGGCACATCTGACTGAAGATGTGCCACGAAAGCTCTTGAGCCACCACAGGAAACCCCCAGTCAGCATGTGGGAAACTGGGAGCCAGCACCACTCCTGGACCATCTTGATCATCCTCACTGGGCGCCGCAGAGGCCAGAGTGGTTTTCCTGAAGCACCTGAGTAGTGGCTTGCTATTTGTGATGGGACTTCTTTCCCTCAATCAAGTTCCTCTGCGGAGAACACACCAGAAATTTGTTATTGCCGCCTCTTCAAAGATTGATATCAGCAACGTGAAAATCCCAAACACCTCACTGATGCTTACTTCAAGAAGAAGTGTGGATGCC